TGTTTGTATGAGATTTATACACTCACTAGACCTTTTGGTCTAACGCTCATTGTTGGACTAACCTGTTTTGCAGGTCAGCATACTTTGCAAGATAAGGGCAAAGGAAAAGTATAAATGATGATAATAGTTTGTTCATATATGTATTAAAGAGACATTTTGTTAGTCCCTGTTTTGTAATAATACTATTTTAGTATTATGAGTATGATGATATAAATTTTATGTATATGGGATTATGAGGGTTTGGTACACTATCATCTGTATCCCGGGCATAATCTGAGTCGGTGAACCCAACTAGCTTTGTCTTTTTCTTCTTGTACAAAATTCCATAATCCATTGTCCCTTTTAAGTACCTGAGAATTCTTTTGACTACTTGAAGATGAAGCTCTGTAGGTCTGCTCATATATCTGCTGACCAGACTAACACTGTACATCAGATCTGGTCGAGTGGCGGTAAGATAGACCAGGCTTCCTACAATTTACTTGTATTGTAAATCGCACACCGGTACACCGTCTTCATCCTTTTTAGTTTACAACCAGTTACAATCGGTGTTGTTACTGGATGACTTTCCATCATACCAAAACGTTGTAATACATGAGACGCATATTGCTTTTGACATATAAAGTTTCCTTGGGTACCTTGTGTGACTTCTATATCGAGAAAATACTTCATTTGTCCCATGTCCGTCATCTCAAAACACTTCATCATTGACGACTTAAATTATGTTAGCAGCTCAATATTATCTCCGGTATAAATCAAATCATCAACATAGACGCTAACGATAAGAAAGTTACCTTTACTGTTTCTCTTTGTGAAYAAAGTTTGCTCATTTGGACACTTCTTGAACCCTTCAGCCATAAAGTAAGTTTCCATCTTGCTAAACCAAGCATGTGGTGCTTTCTTTAACCCGTAAAGTGCCTTATGCAGCTTGTACACTTTCTCTTCAGCTCCTGGAATTTCAAACCCCTTCGGTTGCTGAACATAGACGTCTTCTTTAAGTTATCCATGTAGAAACCCTGACTTCACATCCATTTGGAAAACTTTCCAGTCACGTTGGTCAGCTAATGCAACTATGGTTCTTACAGTTTCGATCCTTGCAACGGGGGCGTATACCTCTAAGTAGTCGATTCCATATTTTTGGGAGTAGCCCTTAGCTACTAGTCTCGCCTTGTGCTTTTGTAATGAACCATCTGCTTCAAGCTTTGTCTTGTATATCCATTTGACCCCTACTGTCTTTGCACCTTTAGGAAGATCAACAARACTCCATGTTTTATTCTTTTCAATGGATTTGAGTTCTTCTTCCATTGCYTTCATCCAGTGAGCTTCTTTCGCAGCGTCTTCATAGAATACAGGATCAGTTGAGATCAGCATCGCCATATTTTCTTCTTGATCATCAAGTTGATCACCAGTCACATAATCWTCCATCCATGATGGAGCATGTATTTCTCTCCTGCCTCTTCTCACGTTAGAGTCGTCGACTCTCCCATGATCTAAGGTTTCTTCATTGCTTTCTTCTTCGTTCAGATCTGCGTCATCAATTTCTTCTCTATGGTCAGCGATATCTTCACTTTCATTTCCAGCAGCACCTTCTTGATCACCTTCATCATCTTCCCAACTCAACTCCATATCAATTTCTTGAGCATTAGAGTCATCCCAACTCCAGCACTTGTATTCGTCAAAGATCACGTCCCTACTTATTGTAATATGTTTGGTTTTGGGGTTAAACAACTTATACCCCTTTGACACGATGTTCCTTAGGAACATGTACATAAGCTAGACACCCAAATATTTGGAAGTGGGACACTGATGGAGTGTTCCCACTCCAAGCTGCTTCAGGAGTGGTATCTTTTAAAGCTACACTTGGACATCGATTCAGAACATGGTTGCTCCACTTAGCAGCCTTTGCCCATAACCTTTTTGGTATCCTCTTTTCTGAAAGCATTGCTCAAACCATGTTTAGTGATGTTCTATTCTTGCGCTCGGTGACGCCATTCTGTTGCGGTGTGTATGGTGTTGTCAGCTGCCTCCTGATTCCTTTTTCTTTACACATTTCATTGAATTCTCTTGAGGTGAGCTCCCCACCTCGATCAGTGCGTAAGCACTTAATTGATAGGCCTGTTTCTTTCTCAACTTGTTTCATAAAACACTTGAAGTTGTGTAAGGTTTCTGACTTGTTAGTCAAAAAATACAACCAAGTTTTTCTGCTATAATCATCTATGAAGCAAAGTATGTACCTTTTCTTGCTATTTGAATCTGGACTCATAGGGCCACACAGGTCTGCATGTATGAGTTCTAAAATCGTTTTTCCTCTCCAATGGCTTTTAGATGGAACAGGAGCACGATGGTGTTTGCTCATGATGCAAACTTTACATGTGTCATTTGATTTCCCCAAATTGGGTAGACCCGTCAGCATTTTCTTTTATTCCAATGCTTTCAAGGCTGTGCAATTCAAGTGGCCATAGCGTCTGTGCCACAAAGAGATAATGTCTTGTTCTTGAGTGACAAGACATTTTTCTTTAAACTTCTTAGACTAGGCTTGTGTTTCTCCAATAATATGAACATACGATTAGTGCTAATATAAGTTTCAATAATCAAACCTTTGATGGGACGATATATTTTGCACGCTCCTTCTTTGATCAAGATTGTTAATCCTCTTTCTTGCAATTGACCAACACTGCGAAGGTTGTTCCTTAATTCTGGAACATAATATACATCAATCATGACATGATTAATGCCATTAATCATGATCTTGACATTTCCTTTCCCAACCACCTTCATGTGTGAGTTATTTCCTAGTTTCACAGTGCTGACATAACTCTTGTCCAGCTCTGAAGACCATCTTTGGTCACCACTCATGTGGTTTGAACAACCTGAGTCGAGGAACCATGCATCTTCCTTTTTCTTTTCTCCTATATCTGCATAGGCCATCAAAAGCATCTCATCTTCCTCCTCAACGTAGTTCGTTTGACGGTTCCAATCAGGGCACTCATAACTGAAGTGCCCTAATTTGTGGCACTGATAACACTCAATGGTGTCTCGTGAGTAGTAGTTTTGTCTTCCTCGACCTCTTGGTGAGATTCTCCCTCTTCCTCGAGTTCCTTGTCTTTCCACGTGCGAAATCTTCAGAGCTTGCTCTTCTTCACCATCTTTATCTCTCGTGAACTTTTGCTCGTGGACTAGGAGTGAACTTTGAAGTGCATCCACGGACAAGGTATCAATATCGTTTGATTCTTCTATTGAGCAAACGATATAATTCCGAAGAATTTTCTCCACAATTTTCACATCTGTCATATTCTCACCATAGTTCCTCTTCTCATTAGCAATTATCATGRCCCTGCCAAAATAGTCAGAAATCGACTCACCTTGTTTCATCATCAATATTTCGATAGGACCTCCTTCGCCTATTCAGTTGAGCCTTTTGGACCCTTGCGTTCCCTTGGTACTTCACCTTCATCGAATCCCAGAGTTGTTTGGCAGTRTCCCTCTTGGAAATAGTCTTGAGGATTGTTTTATCTATTGAAGCAAATAGACAATTTTTGGCCTTCAAGTCTTTCATCTTTAGGTCTTCTATAATCTTCCTCTGTGCTGGAGTACCAGTATCATCTGGAATGACAGTCTCAATGACATTCCAGTAGTCTTTGAAACGTAAGAGATTCTCCATCAAGAGACTCTAATGCTCATAATCCCCTTCGAACTTGGGAAGGCAAGTCCCGATGTTTCCGTTTGAATTCATCACTCTGAGGACGTCTCTTTTACTCTGCTTTCTTTTTCCTTTGGCTGCGAAGTCAGGTCTCCAGATTAGGGCTCTGATACCAAATGTTGATCTAGCTTTTAGCAAACAACTGAGAACAGCAATATGGAAATGAACTGACTTGTTATTAACTGGTAGCTAGATGGGCTTAAATAGCCGTACAATACAAAGAAAAGTAAAGAACGTGCAACCTAACAAACTCCAAAATAAACTAAGATAAAATGGACTCATCCTAAAGAATAGGACTTTATTTAACATGTTTACAAAGTAAACAGAGACTTGGTAAACCTTACGATTACCCCAACAATCATTAGTTTATAAAGTTGATCAATGAACATAAATTAATCTTACGGGTCTCATGAAAAACCTTTGGTCTCACGTGAACTCAACCCTATATATATATATATATATATATATATGTGTGTGTGTGTCTCTGTGTGAAAGAAGATACTAAATTGTGTGGACGAGGATAATTTTTTTATTGACGATAGAATTCCCTGTTCCCAGATGAAGATTGTGGTCCCTGTGGTTGCAACCTCTAATATCAAACCATATTTCGGATTTACATCAACTTTCAGTCCAACACCATAACCACATATCATCCATGTTTTTCTATACAACAAACCCTTATGCTTTTGTTTTCCTTCTCTAAACAAATAAAATGGTTAAACCACTATTCATTATGAATATCATAAATAACAAATATGCATGATAATTTGTGCAAGTAATATTTATTATGAATAATTCATGAAATAGTTGATCCCAGTAATACAATCTCATTTAAACCTGCCCCTATCTATCGTATGTAAGTAATATATATACGTGTATGTAAATATGAGTGAGTGAGCGAGTGAGCGAGTTTTATAGGTTAACCACTGGTTCGACTCGGTGCAGAAGTTCCAACACGCTTACAGCTTTCCTCTTGGCTCTATCCGTTCCATTCTCCGCCAATTCCTTCAACACCTCCTCTGCTCCAAACTCCTTCATCATCTGCAAACACTCCATGTCACCCGCACACACACACCACAAAATCGACACTCCGTTCTCCCGATTCCGTGCCGATCCCGTCCCCACCACATCGATCAAAATCGGAATCGGCTCCGCTCTGCCGATTGCCGCCTTCCCTTCATGGTGGCTCGCAATTATCGCCAGAATCGCTAAAGCCTCGTCCATCATTCCGTCACTAGCATCTTTAACCAATCTCATCAATGGACCCACGATTCCTGCACGAACCGCTCGAACCTTGTTCCCTTGATAAATACAAAGGTTAAAGATGGCGGTGGCCGCGTCCTTTTTCCCTCTTGGTGTACCTTCTTGTAGCAAATCGATCAGTGGCAGTATGGCACCGGCAGCACCGATCGCCACTTTGTTTTCGTCCACCACCGACAAGCTGAAAAGGGTGGCGGCCGCATTTTCTCGAGCCTCCATGCTTCCATTTTTCAAGACATCTACGATATCGGGTATGGCTCCAACGCTCACGATAATGCCTTTATTCGCTTCGTTTATCGATAAGTTCAAAAGTGCGGTGACGGCATGCTCTTGAGTTCGGCTATCACCGGAAGATAGTAATTCGACTAAGAGCGGAATGGCACCGGCGTCTGCAATGCATATTCGATTATCTGTGTTCCTTTTTGCTAGTAATCGAAGCTCACCAGCAGCTGCTCGTTGCTCGTCTGAGTTCCCGTTTGCGAGTTTTTCGAGTAATAAGGCAATTGCAGATTGGTCGCATTCAGAACCGGTTCTTCCGGCTTTCATGTTTTTGGAATTTCCTTGCGATTTTGGCAGCTCGATGCCGTTACTATCACACCACAAAGCGATTAGACTTTTCAAGACGTAGTTGGGCGTTAACGCTGTGTGTAGTAAAGTCTGCTGAGTTTTTGGGCAGGTTTTGTGTCCGGCATCTAGCCATTTTTGAATACAAGACCGTTCATATGTCTGTAAAGTAGTAAAGGAGAGAGATCAGAAAACGGCATGAACCTCAAACACGGTATCGAAAGGGGGATGGTAGTGGTGGTAAAGATTTTTAGGTGAGACGAGCCTGCTCATCAACATGATTAGGCTATGTTTGACAAACTAGCTGATAAACTAACGGATAAGTGTCCACTTTTGGTACAACTACTTTCTCTGTCCAAAAATAAGTGTCTACTTTTCAATACTACCCTACCTTAATTTAGAGATGGGAAACTTCATTACTCCTATTATTAGGGGTAAAATCAGTCATTTAGTTAACTAAGAAGTGTTATAATTACATATTTCTAAAACTTTGTGTCTATTTCATTCTGGACATTTATTTTGGGACGGAGGAAGTAGTTGATAAGCTAGATGACACTATAAAAAATTTAGGATTCAAAATCTTTCAATCATCGAAAGCCATTATGAAACACGTTACAAAATGGTGGTAGCCATACCTGCCCGGTAGATACAATCACGGGATCTTTCATCAATTCAAGCGATATCGGGCACCGAAAATCATCGGGAATAACCGGAGATCGATGCCGCGTGAACCTCTTTTCACGATCGGGGCTATCATGTGCGGGATTTACTTGCATCACGTAATCGTTTATCTTCTTAAGAAGGAATGACGCAGTCTCTAAGAAATTTTCATGATCTCCAACGGTTGATATGACCAAATCATGAATGGCAACCGACTCACTCCTTAGATCATTGATAGTCGTAAGGTGCAGTTTTTCTGAAAGTCTTTTAACCGTTTCTAAGTCTGGTTCCTTTCCCTTTTTCACAATCGCCAAATCCGTCTGAAGCTGTAAATCAGGAGATTCTGTTTGTACCGCTCGTTTAAATTGTTGATGCACAAGTATTATCTGAAAGATCATAATTAGTGACGACATTGTTGTTGGTAGCATAGAGTCAGACAGAAGGTTACAAATAAACTAAGAAGTTAACTCGGGTGAACCCACGTTAGCAAATGTAATAACTTACGAGATCAGTAGGTTACCGTTCAAAATGGGTACAAAATAAGAAATTTTGGAACTCTTTTATTGGAACTCTAAAGATCATACTCACCTGTTCTAGAACTTCCTCAGGTATATCGAGTCTATCATATTGAATTTTGCACAATGCTTCTTCAATTTGTGTCGTTATTACACGAAACTTGTCGCAGGTTCTATCAATTTGCAGTGCCTGTGATACAGAAAACAAATCATCATTGATTGGAATAAAGAATGTCAACACATGTTTTTGGAATGGGGGCTGTAAAACTGAAAGCCATGGTTTCCTTATCTTTTCATAATAGCCGCCCCTCAACTCAGGTACACAAAATGGTTCTAAGGTAAATGGATGATTTAACTAGCGACGATTGTGCCCTAATGAAAACGATACAAACCAAACAAAACCAGTATATCGCATCAGGAAGCAGAGAGGGGGAGATGGACATAGACCTTCCCTATGCCTCAAGAGACAGAGAGGCTGTTTCCGACAACGCCCCAGCTTGCAAAATATATTTAGAAAGCACAGCTATAAGAAACTAGTTTTGCAAAAACAAATGTTAAAAATTAATTTATTGATTTATTATTCTCATTATTTATCAAGGCGGAATTAGAAAAGATTGCAAAGAGCCTGAAATGAAGTAAAAATTAAAGATAAAACAACGAGATAGGGATGACAACGACAGTAAAGACAGTTAAACCAAGAATACTTAGGGGTCGTTTACCAAATGCTTACCTAGCTAAGTGCTTACTGGCAAAATTCAACACTGTCACTTACTTACCGGGTAAGATTTTAGTCCACCAAAAAAGTATCCTATGCAACAATTACCCGGTAAGCGCTAACTGTGGTAAGAGTCGTCGCACTCACTTATCGGGTCAGACTCTTGGTCGTTACTTTCGCTCTTACCTGGTAAGATTCTTGGTTCTTTCCATATTCATCCGGTAAGGTAATGTGACTTCATAAGTGCTTACCAAGTTAAGCGTTTGGTAAACGGCCCCTTAGCTGGAAAGCACAACTAACCCTCCAAAGAATCCTCCTATATCTATCATAAAGTACTGCAAACCTATATTTCGACTCTCTAACCTCCTCCCAACCCACCCTCTACCTTTCTAACCTCCTCCCAACCCACCCTCTACCTTTCTAACCTACGCTCCCCTCACAATCAAATACCTCCCAACCACCACCAAACTGCAGTACGTAATAGTCCTATTAGCAATCAACTACCCTAATCTAGGCCATGCCCCCGAAAATACTAACAACGCCTCCATGCCAACTTCAACTTCTCATCCCACATCCTCCTCGGCCTTCTTCGCCTCCTCGCCCCCTTGACCTCTCCATCATAGTTATCGGGTCGTCTGCATTCTCCTACGAACGTGTCCAAACCACCGCAGTCTTCCCTCCCTCAATTTATCTAAAAAAGGCACAACTCCTAATTCTACTCAGAAAACCTCATTCAGTGATCCATCCAACATAGTCCCACCGTAGTAGGTTCATCTCAGCATCCTCGTGTCTGCAACTTCCACTTTTCCTCGCATGTGCTTTCTTTATTGTCCAACATTCAAACTCATACAACATAGATAGTTTGATTGCCACACCGTGTATATTTTCCCTTCAGTTTTAACAGGACCTTCTTGTTACACAATACTCTTGTGATCGTCCTCTATTTTACGTTCCTGCCTTTATGCGATCTGCAACGTCTTACTCAACCTCTCACTCCAAAATCATAGATCCTAAATACTTGAAACTGTCCTTTTAGGGTACCCTTTGGTCCCCAATGCTGACTTCAACCCCTCCTTCAGTTGTGCTCTCCACTGAAATAGCACCTAAGATATCAATACTTATATAGCTAATACGTAGAACTTTTGCTTTCAATGCCACTCTCTACTGCTCCAACCTAACATTCACCTCGTCTCCATTAGAACAGCAACGTTGCGAGCTGATAACACAGGTTTTTTCCAAAGGATCCTTGGACCTTGGGCTAGCCCCTTTCGCTCCCTCTTTTGCTCGCCTTCTTAGAGATAAATCCAATCCAAGAAACCTGTATGACGATGCACAAACCTCGCCCGAAAACACCTTGCAACACCATGATAAAAATGATGAAGAAACTACAGTAACCTCTAGTTCAAGTGGCATTGAGGGGATTACTAGTTTCCATTCTTAAATCTTGAATTTTCTTGATTAAACTGTTCTTGTGGCACCCAAACCCTAAAAACTTTTGAGTTAACGATAGTAACCAAAACCATTTACAGGAGATAGATGTCAGCACCAGTGAGGAGGGTAGAAAAGATGATAGTCCAGGCGTTGGGCAGGCCGAGGAGGATGTGTGATCGACAGCTGAGGTCGGACATGGTGGCTTTACATTTTTCGGAGGGCATGACCTCTGATAGGAGTCCACGGAGACGCAAGACCTAGGTAGCAGACTACATGTAGGTACCTGCAGATAACGTGACCGGAAGGAGGTTGGAAGGATTGAAAGTACAGTGAGATAGGGGAGGGTCGGAGAGCCGATTTATATGTTTTCAGAGCGCTAAGATAGATAGAGGGATGTTTAGTTTGCCTTAGTGTTCTAATATGTTCCTATGCAAACTGTACTTCTGTAATCTCTTTTGCTGTTTTACTGTTTTCTGGCCTTGGTTCTATTCAAAAGCACTTCATAGTTTACCTTTTGGTCTCAAGTTCCTCCCTACCTTTCAATTTCTTTCAATTGTTTTTGATGAATTTTATGAAACACTCAGTACTCCAAAATCTTTTTGCAATTATTTCACAAGTTGGGTATCTTCACATAAACAGTTGCTCTACTCTTTTGGGTAGATATCAGGTCTACGTACATCTTACCCCCAGAGCCTACTTCCAAGTAGAACATATTGGGTGTGCCTCAACTCCTCATGGAACAAATAGCAAAATGGAAATGTATAGGAACGTAGAAATTCAAGGTTATTGATTAGAGTTGAAGTTCAGGTGGCGGCCTTTAGCCCAACTGATACTAATGATCTTGAACCAACCCCTCACGAAAAAAAAAAAAAAAACAGATACGGTAACGTATGGGAACATGCTATTCAAGGTTCTTGACTAGAATTGAAACTCATCGAGCAGCCTTTAGACCAGCCGATGCTAATGAACCTTGAACATGTGGCTTTGAGTTCAAGACATGCCACTAACAAGGTATATGCATTTCAACCCTATCAAAAACAGAATTGAAGGTCATTTAGTTAAATCTTGATACTTCCAATTAGAGCTCTCATACACACCTAAAGAACAATAAAACAAGAATAAAACAAGAAGCTTTCTAGTTTGTTTTACCATTTCCAAACAGACCAATTCAACAACACCCAATAACCTAATCATGCTTCAGAGTCCAAAACCCATTTGAAAGATCAATGCAATCACATATATTTGAACAGAAAAAAGAAAAAGAAAGTACCTGAAAGGTTTTACTTCCTTCATTGACTGATTTGAGAAGCTGCAGAGCCAAATTCAAAGCAGTTTTCAAAGACCGCAACCCTTGAACATCATCATCATCGAGTTGTTCACCACTATCTTTCAATTCCTCAAACAAAGGGCTCAAAAGCTTCACTCTCCTCACCAGATTCCCGTACATAACTCTTACAGCGTTTCTGCACTCGGGTAAACCTGAAAATTTCCTGACCAAGTCAACGAGTTGACTCACCAAATCACCCCCTTCTTGATCGGCCATAATTAGACCACCAAAATCACACAATTAATATCTCAGAAAAACCCTTGGTACAGAATTGAAGAAAAATTCGTTATTAAAGAGAATTGGGTGACTGATGTTGATTGGAATTATTGAAGCTGAGACTTTTTCTGGGTTTACAAAAAAATGAAGAAAAAGTCTAAAAAGGGTTTTGTATATTCATGGTTGATTCGGTTTGGTTGAACTTGAGCGATAAACAGGACGGCGGGAGGGTCAACAATGGCGCCAAGAAAGAATTAGTCAATGATTTAGGGGAAATCTTGAAATAGCGACCAAACGGTATATGGGGTTGTTTGGGATTTAGCTTATTTAAATTATTATTTTTGAAAGAGTTTATCAATTTATATAGTGTGAAATTGGAGTTTTAGAAAAAGTGTTTGAATTAGTTTATGGTGGTACGTACCAAATCGTAATAATATTTTTTAGTGTTTGAAAATTTTTGTTTATACATGTAAAATGACCAAAAAGAACATAAGAGCATCCTTATTGTCGGCCAAAAACAGGGATCAAGGGTTCGATCATTTGCAGAGATGCTCATCGTCAGCCACAAACAGGACCAAGGGTCTGATCGATTTGCATAGATCCCCATCGTCGGCCAAAAACAGGGACCAAGGGTTTGATCATGGCCAAAAGCAGGATTGCAGTTCGAGGTCGATTTCAATTTCGATTTCAATCGTGAAGGTCGTTTTTTATTTTGATTTTAAAAAAGGATGGCACACTAGTAGTCTATGGAACATAGAAAATGTTTGGAGCAAGCATGAGGCTAAACAGAAGAAACTTGAGGAACTCCGGAAGCAAATCCACAAAGAATTAGGGTTAGGGTTTCTTCTTTAAAATTTTACCAATTTCTTACAGGTGAAGGTCAATTTCCATTTTGCAGGTGAAGGTCGAAGGTCGATTTCACTGGTCACTCGAGGCTGAGGATAAGATAGGTTAGGGTTAAAAAGGTAAATTGGTTTTCACACCTAATAAGTTGAATATGATAAATTCGAAAGAAGCAACTTATCAAAAACTTTTTATTACCGGTTTGGTACAGGTATAAATATTTTTTTTTCTTTTCTCATCCAAACATTAAAAAGTGTTTATTACCGATATCACACTGCAATAAACCAATAAACAATTTAAATAAACAATCACAAACACCCCATATTATTATTCGGTAATCAAAATCTATTATTACTTGTGGAAAAGAGAGGAGGGGAGGTTAAAATGTGAACCCAAGGTGCGCCTGTGCTCCGACACATTTTGGTAGTGTTTGGTACGTAGACCGGATGGGACAAGACAGGACGGGACGGTAAAAGACGGGACAGGACAGGACGGGACAGGACTAATTGTATGTCCTATGTTTGGTACGACTAGGACAGGACGGGATAAAACTATTAAAATACCATATTACCCCTAAATGTTGTTCAATGTTATTTTATATCATATAATAATTGTAAAATGACAACAAATCAATCAAAATATTGTCATTTTAACTTTAGTCCCATGTTGTTCCACCTTTTTTGGTGGAACAAAAAAAATCAAGATTTGTCCCACTAAAATTAAAAATAGTCACACTTTGTCCCATGTTTTTTTTGTCCATGGCATGCCAAACATGAGACTATTTTTTTTGTCCCGTCCTGTCCCATATAGTCTGCATACCAAACGCATTAGAAAACTAATGTTTTCATGAAAAAGGTTTGAAACTCTTTATATTGTTTGGTTTTAAGAATTTGTTTTGATAGAATAAAAACATGTATTATGTTTGATGTGGCATTTACATTGGCAAATGGAAGGACTTTTAACATATATTTTTTGTCCCATTTGTAAAATAAAATCGAGATAAAACAAGATTGGTAAATTATTAAACTATCCATTTTAAATTAAAGAATTAAAATATCACACAAAATTTCACCTACCTATCTCACTTTTGCCCTCTTGATCTTGTCTTGTAAGAGCTTGTATTTTCACATAACATATAACACATAATTTACATATATCAAACCATGTTGAAATTACATATTGGGTCACATTTTACAAAAACCATACAATCATCTGAAATGGTACACAAATGTTTTGCTTTTAGTATCTTAATACAAAAGATTTTTCAGATAGCAAAAAGATCCAAAGCAAACGTCCAAATATTCCTCAAGCGGCTTCATGCATAAACCGTAAAACAAATAATCTCACAATTTTCTATTTCCTTTATCACTTAAATGCAGTTGTCCTGACATACATATTTTTTTAAACAAAATGAGGGTTTGACCAAACGGCCCCTAGTAAGAAAATCTCTGTGTAAAACAATCCAGTGTAAAACAGTTAATGGAAAACATTTAAATATGTTAGTCATAAGTTGGCACCCAGATACAACATTTTTCCCATACAACTAGCCTAACAGTCGTCTTTCTAAAGCAATGCACACCCTGATAAGACCGCAATTTAAACTGGCACCGCGGTGGCCTACACAAGAAACACATCCGTGGGGAAATATATATATATATATATATATATATATATGTGTGTGTGTGTGTGTGTGTGTGTGTGTGTGTGTGTGTGTGTGTGTGGACACGTTCAAATGAAAACCGTGCATTTCTAAGAAACCGTGTTAACCAATTTCGACCAATAAGAAAATTCTTTTTTTTCTAATTAAATTTAATCAATAAGGGTATTTCAGTCATTTACAATATTTTCTTATTAATAAATCTTAATTAAGAAAACGTAATAAAGGAAATTGTATAAATGATAACATTTAAATATTTAATTATATTAAAATCTTAAAAATTTGGATTTCATATATTGTCATGAGTTATAATCAGGAAACGTGTCTTGATGAAACAATTGAATTATAAAATGAAATCATCAAAACGTAGATGAAACAAAAAAATCCACAAAATGAAACAGGTTTCATGAACGTGAAACTGGTCCATGTTGCAAAGAAATTAGGTGAACCGAAACATTTTTATGGTGAACCCGTTGCATTGATAGTGTAGTTAATCCTTTTTATTTATGAGAAGCAAAATGAAACCGGTGCATTTTGAAAAAAATTATGAAAAGGAAAATGAAACAGGTTTCATGAACGTGAAATCGGTTCATGAACGTGAAACCGGTTCATGTTGCAAATAAATTAGGTGAACCAAAACATTTTTATGGTGAAACCGTTGCATTGATGGTGTAGTTGATCTATTTTGTTGATGAAAAGGAAAATAAAACCGGTGCATTTTGAAAATAATTATGAAAAGAAAAATGAAACAGGTTTCATGAACGTGAAACCGGGTCTTGTTGCAAATAAATTATGTGAACCGAAACATTTTCATGGTGAAACCAATTTCGTTCATATAATGTAATTCAA